AAAAAAACCCCGTAAACGCTATTCTCTTAGCATCTAAACAGTTGCTTTATTTTTTAGCAGATAGATGAAAAAACACTGCTGTGAGTCACAGCTCTCTAAATAAAAAGTTATTCCTGACCTCCAGATGGAGGCTTGCAGCCTTCTTCTGAAAGACAGAGTCTCACTGTTGGCATTTCTGCAGTGCTTAGACTGCAGCTGAACCCTAGAAACATGGCCTTTCTCCTTGCCTGCCACACTAGCTGTCAGGAGTGCCCATGGTGAGTCACATTGTGTACTTGTGTACCGAGTCTCACTGCCATCGGGGACAGGGTGGGGAATGGAGGTTACAGTTCAACCTGAGCAACATCAGAGCCAGAGGGAGCCCCTGGCCACCTACCTGCACTTGCAAACTGTGTCCTTAAACCTCATGTGTTCCTTATGGCCTTTCTGAAGACTGCTGAAAGACGTACATCTGCTCATCCACCTGAGTTTGAAGTTTTGTCTGTTTCACACCTATCCTCAGACCTCAGTCTTCTAAGGACCTTGGAAGCAGTGTGTTCCGCCAACTATGGGTACAGGCAAAAGATTTGGAAGAGATGATCAAGCATTAAAATTATGGGCTGCCAGGCCAGGCGTTGGTGGCGCACATCTTTAATCCCAGCACTTGGGAGGCAGAGGCAGGCAGATCTCTGTGAGTTCAAGGCCAGCCTGGTCTACAGAATGAGTTCCATTCCAGACTCCAAAACAATACAGAGAAACCCTGTCTCAAAAAAAAGGCTGCCAAGATGACTCAGCAGGTAAAGGCACTTGTTAGCAAATCTGAGTTTAATCCCAGGGACTCACATCAAAGGAGGACATGGAATCAGGTTGTCCTCCTGTCTCCACACATGTACCTTAGTGCTCATGGGTGCGCATGAACACATACACACACACACACACACAAAATAGGTAGATAGATGGATGAAAGGTTTGAAATGATTTTTTTAAAACTTAAAAATTCCCTATACATTAAACTATCTTCCAACCTAGAGATAATAAAAGTAAATTATGTAGCAATGGAAAAGATATTTTCAAAAAAATTACAGATTAAAAACAAGCCGGGCGTTGGTGGCGCACGCCTTTAATCCCAGCACTCGGGAGGCAGAGGCAGGCGGATCTCTGTGAGTTCGAGGCTGGGCTGGACCGATAGCCTCCAAAACAATACAGAGAAACCCTATCTCGTAAAAACCAAAAAACAAACAAACAAACAAACAAACAAAACTGTCCTTGTAACATAATTTCTAAGAAGTAGAGGGAGATTTTTATGTAAAGCAGTTCTCTGTCCCACGCCATGTTACCCATGTCTGGCTTACCTCTGCACATTTTGTTCTGGTTGGTTCCTCTTTGGACTTTAAAATCCGCTTGTCCACCAGGTCCCACCTCTTCCTGCCCTTTTTCTTAACTTCCTGATCAATATTGTCGGAGCTTCTTTCTGTTTGTTAGATTTCCTGTCTTAAGAATCCCACACACCTCAATTAGACTCTCAGCCCTCCTCATGCTTCAGTTCTTCTGTGGGAGGTTCTGTGGGAGCAGAGCCTTCTTAGGCTCGTCAGTGCTCACCTGCCACTGTGTGCTCTGTCTGATATGGTAGTTTCATGGTATATTGAAGCACACTCCCTTTCAGGCTTCCCTTTCTCCCCTCCAACACTTGGGGTGGTTTTCCTGTACAGATTAGAAGAGCACCCCATCTGCTGCCTCCCATGGGCTCACTTGTTTGCTTCTAACTGGGAAGGACATCAAGGCCTCTTATATGGAGGGTTAGTGTTAAGTATTCAAAACAAATTACAGCTTTTAGCTCTTCAAGTTTTGTTTTATATGAGGTATATTTTATAATAAACTACTTTAATAACTAGTTAAAATATAAATCTTACACAGTTTTCGCTCTAAACATGTAGTTATGTTTGTCGTTGGTGAATTTGTTCTTTTGAGTGTGATTTATAAAGTGTTTCCTAAATCCCATCTCTTTGCTCATTTGCTAGCTATATATTGTCTCACAGTCTCTGAGGCAATTTTTTAAAGATTGATAAATTTTGTTTATTGATTTCTTTTTAATGGTTCTTGCTTCTGGCCTAGGGATTCTTTCATTGATTTTTCTTATACTTCTGGAAATCTTAACAGTTATGACTTTTACAGTTAGTTTTGTTATTTCTTTCAAGCTTCCTTTTGCATCTGTGAGTGGGTATTACAGAGGGAGGGGCCTTTTCTCTCCATAATTTATTCATATTTTAAGACTTCTCTTTCCAAGTTGACTGACTTCAGTCTTGCTGCCTTTGAGTTGGCAGAGTGCATGGGCCCCGCTTCTGGGTTGCTTTCTATTTTAGTCTCCTGTCGTCTGTTCCTAAGCCACTGTTCTGATGCTAAGTCAGTGAGTGGTAAAGGCGTCTATTTTTTTTATTTTTTTCTTCCTGCCTTCCTTTTTTTTTTTTTTCTGGTACACTTTGAGAATGGTTTTCACTTTTCAGTTGAGTTTCCATATACTTTAATAACAACTTGCCAATGTGGGTAAAAATATCTGCTGAGGGGCTGGAGAGATGGCTCAGAGGCTAAGAGCACTGGCTGCTCTTCCAGAGGTCCTGAGTTCAATTCCCAGCAAACACATGGTGGCTCACAGCCATCTGTAATGAGATCTTGCATCCTCTTCTGACGTGCAGGTGTGCATGCAGACAAACACTGTATACATAGTAAATCTTTTTTAAAAATCTGCTGAGACTTTGGCTGGGTTTGTGGTGATTGATAGGGATGGATGGTCATTTTTAAGAACATTGAATCTTTTTTTTTTTTACCTTTATAACAGCCTTTGTCAATTTGTTACATTTCAGTATTTGTTCTAATGATAACCAAGCCTTCCTTTAAAAAGTATCCTGAGCAGGCTGGTTTTTTTCTTTAGTGGTGGAGTGCTTGGGGGGGGGGGGGTTCTATCCCGGTGCTAAAAGACAAGAAAATAATGTGGGGTTGTTAAGTATTGATGCCTTTTGTAGAGGGATAATGCATGAGACTTTTTGTTTGTTTGTTTGTTTGTTTCTCAAGACAGGGCTGCTTTGTGTAGCCCTAGCTGTCCTGAAACTCACTCTGTAGACCAGGCTAGCCTTAAACTCAGAGATCCGCCTTCCTCTGCCTCCGGAGTGCTGGGATTAAAGGCGTGTGGCACCAACGCCCGGCTAACATGAGACCTTTTGATAGCTTTGAATTCACCTTGTTTGAGACAGTGTCACAGCAAACATGTTTGATGGTGAAAGCCTGGAGTAATGTTTAGAAAGCTTTCTAAGTTTAGTTCCCTGCAGTTCTCACAGGCTAGAGAATTCCTCTCAATCCAAGAGCAAAATGGATCACTGGAGCTAGGGAGAAGGGGAATGATTGCCTCTTTGCTCATGGCAAGCAGGAAACCAAGTATTGTAAACCCAGATTTTCTGTAATACCCAGTCTTTTAGTGTCTTAAACATTAGAGAAGGAGCAATTTAGCCAAGTGCATGCCCTTGTTGTGACACCCCTGGCCATCTTGGCCTCTATTTCCAGAAAGACGGTGGTCTGAGACATTGCAGACTTGTATGTTCAGTAGATAGGGCATTTGCCTGTCTTAGTGAATTGGAAGGTTGGGAGGTCTTGTTGAGAAGTGTGGTGACGGTGAGGGCTTTGCAGAATCTATAACATAAGATTTCTTTTTTATATTTCTTTTTTTGTTTGTTTGTTTTTTTGTTTTTTCGAGACAGGGTTTCTCTGTAGCTTTGGAGGCTGTCCTGGAACTCACTTGGTAGTCCAGGCTGGTCTCGAACTCACAGAGATCCACCTGCCTCTGCCTCCCGAGTGCTGGGATTAAAGGTGTGCGCCACCAACGCCCGGCCTCTTTTTTATATTTCACCTTCAAGACTGAACAAACAGGAGACAGAGACCACGACACCAAAATGGCTTTAGTTTCTGCAGTTACTTTGTCTTTTTAATTTCTTATTCTTTTAGTTAGCATACCAAGTATTAGTTTTGTTATGGCATTTTCAAGCATAGCAGGATTTTGTGGACCATCCTCTCCTCCCTCTTCTCTCACATCCACTTACTCTCCACCACCTTCCCCTCACCCGCATCCTCCACTGTCATGTCACAGCTACAGTTCTGTATCCCAAAGCCTCTGGAAATGGAGGTTGAGAGGTACTGTGCTTTCAGCTTTACAGGCTCACAGTAATTATGAAAACCTATGTCCATATTCAGTTTAGTCTGATAACCACTTTTCTGTTTTTAATATAGTCTGAGATTGTATGGTGGGGGAGATGTTCTGGGTTCATATGTGTTTCAGGAGTCAGCTTTCTCTTCCACTGTAGGTCACAGGGATGAACTCAGATGTCAAACATGTGCTTTCCCGCTGAGCCATCTCGCTGGTCCCTTACTTTTTTAGCTGAAGGAAAGTTTTATTGTGAACCTAGTAGCCACGATTTAAATGATTCTTTACTTTGATGTCTAAGACTGTGCACTGACTGTTTAATAACACTCTCTTTTCCGAACTCTACTCTGAAATTGTAGAGGTCGTGTCTTGTTTCGGGCCTTTAGTTTGTAGTGTCAGTCTTCTAGATACCAAGTGTTGTGATTGTAATTGCTTCCCTTTGGTCTCCTACACAGACTCCACTGACAAGAAATTAGAGTTATTTTAGTTAGGCTGGCAAAATGGCTCAGTGGTTAAGAGCACTTGTTGTTCTTGCAAAGGGACCCAAGTTCAGCTTGAAGCACTCACGTGGTGGCATGGCCATTGTGACTCCAGTTCTGAGGGGTCTTATTCCTCCTCCTGACCCTTGCAAGCACCAGGCATGCATGTGGACACGAACATATATTCAGACAAAACACAGGAAGTTAATCAATTTGTTTTTTAAAGAATGGGAGTTATCTGATGATCCAAACAGTTTTTTTCCTAAGTGGGGGCTAGTGAGAATGCATACCTTGTAAGTCATGTTCCATACTGAAGATTTATTTACTGACTGTCCTCTCTACTGTTGCTGCTCTAGGGTAACCAGGAGCCAACAACAACTCCTGACGCAATGGTTCAGCCTTTTACTGCCATCCCGTTTCCACCACCTCCACAGAACGGAATTCCCACAGAATACGGAGTGCCACACACTCAGGACTATGCTGGCCAGACCAGTGAACATAACCTGACGCTCTACGGGGGAACACAAGCCCATGGAGAGCAGAGTAGCAATTCACCCAGTAACCAGAATGGATCTCTCACGGTATGTAAAGTAGGAGATATGAGGTAGAAGGATGTGTGAAATCTTCGCCTGCCATCCTGCACCCTCCTTTGACCCAGGCCCCCACACTCTGCTCTCAGGCATAGGCTCTCCCTGCAGCAGCCTCACATTGCCTCCTCCCTGTTCCCTAGAGCACTGAGCTGACTGGCTTGTGCCTCCCTTCTGGTTTTCCTACTCAACCGTGGATGTTTTGAGGACTTCTCCTCCTCTTGTTCAAATCTCAACTGTTTCAGTGTTGTGGGTTTGGGTCTTGACACCCCTTTTCCTTTTTATGTGCTTCCTCTACATTCTTACACTTAAGTCTTACTTACTATGTGCTTGTACCCTGACAACTTAAGTCACTCAGTTACTTAAGCAAAAATTAGGCATCTCTGGTTCCTTATCCTTCATTTCTACCCTTAATCTTTACAGAGTTTAGCAATCACAGCAGTTCCACAGTAATGTACAGCTCAGCCCTTTTCTCCTGTCCTCTCACAGGCAAAGAGCTTAACTCTTCTGCCAGCTGTTTGGGGTTGACTCAGGTGGGTTGAACTTAAATCACAACCCGGCCTCAGAAGAATGGGTTAGGCAAGTTATTTAATGTTCCTTTGCCTTGAAAGAGAAGAAAATGTAGATCATGGTGCCTACCACAAAAACTGTCAGGAGCATTACAGGAGTTTCTGATGGGCCTGGTGGTGACACAAGCTTATATTCTAGCAACCCAGGAGTCTGAGGCAAAAAGTCTACTGGCATTACAAAGAGAATTCAAGGCCAGTCTTGATACACTGGCAAGACCGTCTCAGAGGTACAAAGGGACTAGGGATAATTCAGTGTTGGGGCACATGTGTTAACACCTTCAAGTTACCTCTGCCTAACTTTTCATTCCCTGCATAGCAGCCATGATGTTTTTGTTTTCTAATCTGTGCTGTCCTGTGTTCCTGTCTAATTTTCTAGCACAATTACAAAAGCATCCAAACTCTGTACTTGGGTTTTCTATTCCCCAGCTTCAGCTCACCTCTTTGACCTCACCCCAACTACTTAATAAATGGGGGTGGAAAGTCCCACAGATAGAAATCTCACACTTATTGCAGTCACATCAGATTGTCTGAAATGTTGTGTTGTCTGAATTGATCTGTTTCTCATGCTTAAATCCTATTTTTCCTCAGTATACCGTTAGCAGAGGGCACACTATTCAGACTTTAAATGTCTTGATAAGATTCACTTCCGGATATAAAAAGCTTCAGTGTATAAAGGTGGATAGAACCTGCTAAGACATTGATTTTATTTTTATAGACATCAGGCACATTACCACCTTATTTCTGTGAAAATATGTTGTCTTTACAATGATGGTTACTTCTGTGTATCTTATCCAGTTGGTTTGAAGGAAGCATCTAGGTTTGAGAGGTAATGAGAAGACTCCTTGTAGCATTTGTTCAGTACATGGAATGTACCGGCTGCTGTGTCAGACAATAATGAACTCACAGACTTTCTAAGACAGCTGTTTCAACCAAAGGAGTAAAATGGAAAAGCTAATAATGTGCCTAAGACTTTTCATGATATTTTAAGTTCAAGCTCTATTTCTAGAATAGCTAATGGTCTTCATAACTGCTGTTACTCCATTTCTATTTTCTTGGTAGTTTTGGGGGAACTGTTTCCTCTGAATTGATAATTTCATTAGTATAAATTTACCAAACATGTAAATCAGCTGATATGCTTGCCTTACAGACAAAAAGTCCTGGGTTTGATTCCTCAGAACTGCATAAAACTAGCCACCAGCCTTCGGAGGTGGCAGGAGAGTCAGAAGTTTAAAGTCATTCCTGGGACATGGGGAATTCCAGGCCAGCCTGGGTTATATACCTTATCTCAAAACAATTTAATCATAATAATACATGATCCCCTTTTTATTCTCCATAGTTTGTAATAATACCTTATCTTTATTATTTTTGTTTGTTTGTTGATTTGTTTGTTTGAGACAGGGTTTCTCTGTATAATAGCCCTGGCCATCCTGGAATTCACTCTATAGACCAAGCAAGTCACAGAGATCCTCCTGCCTCTGCCTCCCTAGTGCTGGGATTAAAGGTGTGCACCACCATGCCTGGCTTATTCTTGGATTGGATAATGTATGGCCTCTCTGGTCAGTCTACAAAAGAAAGGTTTGTATTTATTTGTGTGTGAGGATGTGGGTGTATGCATATATTAATGTAGGTGCACATGCACACCATACACGCGTGTACCTGCATGTGGAGACCAGAGGACAAATTCAGGTATGGCTCCTTGGAAGCCACCCATCTTTTTTGCCTTGGCCTGGAACTCACTGGGTCGGCAAGGTTGACCAGCCAGCAGGTCTCGGGGATTTGCCTGTCTCTGTTTCCCTAGGCCAGGGATCACAGGTGTCCAACATCACACTTGGCTTTTTCACTTCAGTTCTGGGGATTAAATTCAGATCCTCACACTAGCAAGACAAGCACTGCATCCAACTGAGCTGCATCAGCAGTCCCGGGTTGATTGTCCCATTCTGATCTGTACTGTCTTCCACTTTCCTGAGTGGCGTGTGGCTTTCCTTCCTCTACATTTTAGTTTATGTGTTGGGTGTCTGCCTGTATGTCTGTGCACCATGTGTACGCAGTGCCCTCAGAGGCCAGAGGAGGGCATCAGATACCCTGGGACAAGTGGTTGTAAGCTGCCATGCCAGGTGCTCTTCTAACCCAGGTCCTCTGGAAGAATAGCAAATGCTCTATTGTTTGAGAATTCTGGCTGGAGAGTTGGCTCACTGGTTAAGAGCAGTGGCTGCTCTTCCAGAGAACCCGGGTTCAATTCCCAGTACCCACACGGCAGCTCACACCTGTCTGTAACTCCAGTTTCAGGGGACCCAACACCTTCATACAGACATATACAAATGTACATGAAATAAAAATAAATAAATTATTTTTTAAAAGAATTTCCCAAGAGGGTCTTGGTTCTGCCTCAACTTGGTATCCCAGATTTTGACTCCCCAAGGAGACCTTAGGCCCTCTGAGGAATGGAGGGGGAAAAGATGGGGGAAGGGGGGTAGGTGGGAGAAGGAGAGGGAGAACTGGGGTTGGAATGTAAAATGAAAAAAATTTTAATTAAATTTTTAAAAGGTATATATATATATAATTTTTAAAAAAAGAATTCTCCCGAATTGCTTTTGTTATTTATTATTTAATTTGTTGTGGTTTGAGACATTCTTTACATGATTTCAGTCCTTTGAAGTTTATTGAGACTTATTTTATGGTTTAGTAGATAGAAATGCCCTGTTTGTCTCTCTTCACATTTCTTGCCTTAAAATTTACTTTGGCTCATTTTAATATGTCGCACCTGCTGTGCGGCCTGCATCCAAGAATGTAGCGAGGTGGTCGGGATAGATGACACAGAGACCCGTCGGTTGCTTTAAGAAAACTTTATGCTTCCCAAGTCAGCTTAGGAGAGCTCTCAAGAGAAGTCTCTGGCGAAATCTCTGGAGAAGTCTCTCTAAGAAAAAGGGGCTTCCCTTTTTAAGGACTTCTGCCATTCATCTACATACCATTCTTTCCTCCTGGCTGGTGGTCTAATCTCCGGCCCCAGAATCGGGGAGACACCACAGGAAGAGGCATCTAGCCGTAGGGGGTGTGAAAGGCATGGTATTTCAGTGAGCAAGCCCTATCTGAGCCCTAAAGCACTGAATTGTTTTCAGTAAACATTACATAGATGCCTGCTCCCAGGCCGAAGGGGAAGTGGGTTTCTGCTCAAGGTCTGGTGTCCCCACATTAATATAACCACTTAAGCCCTCTTATGTTTGCTATTTGTATTATACATCTTTTTTGTTTGCTTGTTTTAGTATCTTTAACATATATATCATTTTAAAATATATATCGTGTTTTAAATTGCATCAAGGCCTATGGTGGGGCTCACGCCTTTAATCCCAGCACAGAGGACACAGAGGCAGGTTTGAGGCCAGCCAGGGCTACAACAGAGAAAAACCCTGTCTCAAACCAAAAAGCAAAACAATCAAATAGTGCTTCTTTGTCTAGTCTGGAAATGTCGTCTTCTTTCTGGTTCATCACCGTTGCCGTGTAGTTGGTAATCTTGGCAGGTGTGCCTGCCATTTACCATGTTGCCTGTCCTAGTTAGGTCTTCTATTACTGTGGTGAAACCCCATGGCCAGGAGAAAACCTGGTGAAAAGGGGGTTTATTTTGTCGTAAACTTCCACATCACAATCCACCTTCAAAGGGGAATGAAAACATAAAGTCAACTTGGGAGCCTGGAGATGGGAACTGAAGCAAAAGCCATGGAGGAACACTGCCTGCTGGTTCACTCAGCCTTCCTTCTTATGGCACCAGAACCCCCAGCCCAGACTGGCGCCACCCGCAGTGAGCTGGGCACTCCCACATCAGGAAAATGTCCCTGTGGAGGCACTTGCTCCCCAGATCACTGGATTGTATCAAGTTGATACAAAACTCATTTCAAGACCAACTAACAGCTCCTATCTGCTTTTCTCTCTTTACTATTATTCTGTGTAGGTGAGAGGAACACTTTCTGTTTTCCTACTGAAACTTTTATTTCATTTTAAAGTTTAAATCTCAACAAAATCTGAAATTCTGTTTTTCTTCTGTCCTTTTTCCTTCTTTTGTCATTAAATTTAGAAATTCTGTTTTCAGCTGATTGATTCTTTGTTGAGCCATCTCAGACCTGCCACTGCTCTCAATCTAGTAAATTTATTTGTTATGTCACTTTTTAATTCTGGAACTGCTATTATTATTCTACATATCTCTATATATAGATTTCTTACTTGTCATGATGTTTTCCTTTAATTCCTTAGCTGTATTTGTATTTGCTACATTGGCATAGTGCTCAATGCAGCGTCTGTGCCTGGGTGCATTTCTGGTTACTGCTCTTTTTTGTGTGTGTTACTGTTTTTACTGCTTTTGTTTTTAATCTGGGTCATACTTTGCACTTTCCTACTTTCTGTAAGTAGTGACTCTTTTATTTGGTTTCTGAGAAT